CCCACATCTTTGGGAGGCTGAGGTAAGTGGATTGTCCGAGTCCATGGGTTCGAGACCCGCCTGGGCAACATGGCGAGACCTCATTTCTACAATAAATCAAAAACTAGCCGGGCGTGGAAGCGCGCTCCTGTAGTTCCAACTACTTGGAAGGCTGAGGTGGAAGGATTGCCGGCGCCCAGCAGGCAAGGCTGCAGTGGCCGGGAGCGGGCACTGCACTCCAGTCTGGGCGACAGAGTGAGACTCCAACTCAAAAAAAAAAAGGAACTTCTGCACCCCTAGACCTTGGAAGTTATTTAACATTCACACACTCAATCTATATTCTATCAGCAGTATTTGTCTCCAACTGATAAAAGTATTATAATAATAGTTATAATGCTTTATTTCTTTTTTCTTTTGAGTTGGAGTCTCACTCTGTCGCCCAGACTGGAGTGCAGTGGCCGCTCCCAGCCACCGCAGCCTCAACCTGCTGGGCTCTGGTGATCCTTCTGCCTTGGCCTTCCAAGTAGCTGGAACTACAGGCGTACGTTACCACACACAGCTAATGTTTTGATTTATTGTAGTGATGAGGTCTCACCAAGTTGCCCAGGCGGGTCTCGAACCCGTGGGCTCAGGCAATCCACTCATCTCAGCCTCCCAAGGTGTGGGATTACAGGTTGAGCCACCAAGTCCAGCTGCTTTATTTCAAAGTAATAAGTAGGGCATACAGTTGAGATGAAAAGTATAAATTCAAGATCAAAAGCAGGTATATGTCTATGTGTGTTGGCTACCTCTTAAGCTCAAGTTTTTCAGTTCTTCACAAAAACAACAAGAATGAAGTACTCAAAAAATGATTTGAATATGGGTATGTATAACAAAGCCAGGACAAGAGTAAGGCAAGTGAGGCACAAAATTTAAGGAGGCACCTTACTCTAAGGTGTGGGTAGGTATAGAGCCAGCACCGGACAGTGAATGTCACCTTCAATTTTACACTCTAGGCAACTCTCTGGCAACTAGTCAAACAATATCACAGAAGTTATGCTACTAAGGTCTGATAAAAGTGCAGAAAGATTTTCTATTTTAAGGGTAGTAGGTCTAACAATTTGATATCTTATGCTGTCATTCTGCTCTAGGAAAATCTGTAATAAGAGACAATAAAACAAAAGGCATTCCTGAAACAATTTCTGAAAAATCTCTCAAGTAACCTTAAATTTTCTCTAAAAGTGTCCTCAAAGATCCTTGGGACAAATCACCCCTAGATTTTATTGTAGGAAAATAAGGTTAAGAATTAAGATTTGGTGGCTCAGCCTGTAATCCTAGGACTTTGGGAGGTCATGGTGACTTGATTACCTGAGCCCACAGGTTCGAGACCAGCCTGGGCAACTTGGTGAGAACTCGTCTCTACATTAACTAAACAATTAGCTGGGCATGGTAGCATGCGCGTGCAGTTCTAGCTACTTAGAAGGCTGAGGCAGAAGGATCACCGGAACTCAGCAGGTCGATGCTGGGTGGTAGTAAGCATGTCACTGCACTCCAGCCTGGGCAATGGACTAAGATTCCAACTCAAAAAAAGATAAAGAATTAAGATTATAGCCGAGTGTGGTGGCGCACACCTGTGATTCCAGCTACTTAGAAGGCTGAGGCGGAAGGATTGCCAGAGCCCAGCAGGCAACGCTGGGGTGGCCGTGAGCATGCCACTGCACTCCAGCCTGGGTGAGAGTGAGAGTCCAACTCAAAAAAAAAAAAAAATTAAGATTATAGTCAGGTGTGGTGCCTTATGTCTGTAATCCCAGCACTTTGGGAGGCAAAGGCGAAAGGATTGCCTGAGCCCAACAGTTTGAGACCAGTCTGGACAACAGGGCAAGACCTCGTTTCCACAATAAATTAAGAAATTAGCCGGGTGCAGTGGCGCACATCTGTGATTCCAGCAACTTGGAAGGCTGAGGCGGAAGGATCGCCTGGCCCAGCAAGTCGAGGCTGCAGTGGCCATGAGTGTGCCACTGCACTCTAGCCTAAGTGACAGAGTGAGACCTCGACTCCCCCTTAAAAAAATTAAGATTACACAGCCTACTGTAATAGTAAATTCAAATAGAGACCCATTCATGTGTTATCTGTTTAAACCATATATAGCTAAGAGGCTGGGCACAATGGCTCATGCATGAGACCAGCCTAGGCAACTTGGTAAGACCTTGTCTCTATAATAAATAAAAAAAAATTAGCCGGACGTGATAGCACATGCCTGTGGTTCCAACTACTTGGAAGGCTGAGGTAGAAGGATTGCCTGAGCCCAGCAGGCCAAAGCTGCGGTGGCCATGAGTGTGCCACTGTACTCCAATCTGGGCAACAGAGTGAGACTCCAAAACTCAAAAAAAAAAAAGAACGAAAACTCTGAATAAATCAAATGAAACTTGTTCCAGAATCTTCCTATTCCTTTCAATTGATCTGGAAAAAGATCTCAAAGTGTACTACTCAAGCACACACACAAAAATGCCTTTACTGCCAAACCTTCCATTAGTCCTTCACCCTCTCTGACCACCTAATTTTATAGGTTCTCCATTGAAGAATTTACATTAGTGTAGAGATGCTTTTTTCCCCTTCAAACTGGAGTTACCTGTGAGTTAGAATTCATTTTCACCTTGTTCCAGTCTACAATATCATCAATGAATATTTAATAGGTCTCCACAGGGTATACAATATTCTGCCCATCTGATTGTCACTTAAAGCCCAAACACTTTTCTTCTCCTCAGTTTGTCCTCACGTAGAGAATTATAAAGACAGTTGCTCAGAATAATAGAGTGAATCAAAAGCAACGCTAAAAACACAAGTTGGCACCAGCTAAACATTCTTTTTTTCTGAGTCAGAGTCTCACTCTGTTGCCCAGGCTGGAGTGCAATGGCACGCTCATGGTCACTGCAGCCTCAACCTGAGGGACTCAGGTGATCCTTCCACTTCAGCCTTCCAAGTAGCTGGAATACAGGCATGTACTACCACGCCAGGCTTATTTTTTAATTTATTGTAGAGATGAGGACTCACCAAGATGCCTAGGCTGGTCTCAAAACCCTGGGCTCAAGCAATCCTCTCACCTTGGCCTCCCAAAGTGCTGGGACTATAGGATGAGCCAACGCACTCAGCCTAAACATTTCATAAAATAGGTACTGTTACTTTATACACTAACTTCTTCTTTTTATTTTTTAAATAGAGACTTTTTTTTTTGAGTAGGAGTCTCACTCTGTCACCCAGACTGGAGGGCAGTGGCACACTCCCAGTCACTGCAGCCACAACCTGCTGGGCTCAGGCGATCCTTCCGCCTCAGCCTTCCAAGTAGCTGGAACTATAGGCACATGCCACCACGCCCGGCTAATTTTTTGATTTATTGTAGAGACGAGGTCTCACCAAGTTGCCTGGGCTGTTCTTGAACCCATGGCCTCAGATAATCCTCTCACCTCGGCCTCCCAAAGTGCTGGGACTATAAGCATGAGTTAAATGGCCACAAAGATGGAAATAACAGACACTAGGTACACCGATAAGGGGGGAGGTGAGAAGGGGGCTCATTATCTATTGGGTACAATGCTCACTATGTGAGAAAGGGTCACCTAAGATTCAACCCCCATCACTACACAATATGTCCATGTAACAAACATATACATGTACCCCCTGAATTTAAAATAAAAATAGAAAATAAAAAAACTCATGGTTTAAGCACCTGCACTTCCATCCCTACCCCCATGCTAGGCTAAAAGATTCTTATTAGTAGTCAGTACCATAAGTACCTTAAAAAAAATGAGCCAGGCCAGGTGGTTCACACCTGTATGCCCAGCACTTTGGGAGGCAGAGGCAAGAGGATTGCCTGAGTCCAGGGGTTCAAGACCAGCCTGGCAACTTAGTAAGACCTCATCTCTACTAAATTTTTTAAAATTAGCCAGGTGTGGAAGTGAGTGCCTGTGGTTCAGCTACTTGGAAGGCTGAGGAGTAAGGATTGCCTGAGCACAGCAGGTAGAGTGCCATGAGCATGCTACTGTACTCCAGTCTGCGCAACAGAACAAGACTCCAACTCAAAAAAAAAAAAAAAAAGTGACTTGCTTCAGAATCCTTTGGCCTTAATATTAATCTTGAAAGATAATAAACAGAAGCAAAGGCTACCCATAAACATAAGAAACACCAAACAAGATGTCACAGCAGAGATGTGAGCAGGTAATATCAAGGGAGAGATAGTATCTGTTTCCAGGCACATTCCAAATCTCCATTTGAAAAAGTTCAACAAGAACATATTCAGAGGCTAGCCACTGATTAACTTTAAGTGCTATTCACCTTTAAGTAAATACTGCATTAGATAAAAGTGGGAGCACTTCAAAGAAAGCAGCTACATTCTAACCAATCAAATGTACTCAGTTAATACTCTATTCAAATGAGACTTCAGTTACTAACAAAATCAACTTATCACTTGGGAGTTGATCCTCTTCATTATATAAGCAAAGTTTAAAATGTCAATAATGGAAATAAAAGATCCAAAACTTTAAGATGTTAAGCATATTCTGGCCATTAAACACTTAGAACATAATCAAGTTGGCTAAAAAGAATTTTGTTCTAGAATTCTATTTTAAAATGCATTGCAATAATTAGGCATTTAAGATCATTTTGATCTAGTTTCTATTCCCACACCACCAGAAAACACATTTATCTGAAGAAAGGAATCTTAACTATATTAAATATATATATATGCATATAAAAATAAATTTGAGACAAAATCTCCTGAAGAAAATGATGAAAGTACTAGTTTGTTTATGAGAAAATATAGGGGTAGGTATAGTTCCAAGGTTTTCTTTAAGATCACTGCATTTCAGTACTTGGTTCTCACTTCACAAACACCTAAGGTGTGAGATATACAATCTGTAACAAACACAAAGTCATGTTTTCCATAGCTACCTTGTGGCCCAATGTCCCAAAGACAAGGCTTGTGTTACATATACCTTGACAAGGGACCCATTTTAAATACTGCTCTCTTTATAAAAGCAGAAGCTTATTACCATTGGATTTGAATCTGCTATGAGATCCCGTAGAGAATCCAGAAATCCCTGATCTTCTACCATCTGGGCATTGATATCATGGAGCTTTGCCACACAGACTGCTGCTGTTTTCCGAACATAGGGATCTTCATCCTTCAAACACTTGCGCAGGGGCTCACAGAGATATTCTGTAATTTTGTCCACCCGGATGCACCCCATAGTTCTGACTGCCAAGGCCCGTATCAAAGGATTAGGATCTTCACAGTCCTACAGAAAACAATCATCAATAACTGTAGGTTACGGTAACTAAAAGCAAACAGTTCAATTTACATAGCCATAAAAGAATACTTCATTAATTCAAGTTTCCAGTTACATTCTATATGAGAACCAATATCTCATGCTATTCCTTTCCTATGTACAAATTTGAGTTGCATACTTAAGAGTTTAGGTTAGGAAATCATTTAACTGTTTTACACAAAATGAGAAAAAGTTCAGTAGGATTCATTCTAGGACCTAGCAGAAGCCTAGTGAGTTTGTACCATCCCCATAGTCCTTAGTGAGCCTACCCTAAAAATAGAAAGGAGCTTTGGGCTTGTATTCTGGTACAGTAAAGAATGTGTCCCACTCCACAGTCAGTTCATAAGTAACAAATAGAGTGAAAAGAAGGCTAGTTTTGAGGGGCCTATAGCCAAGAAAGCAAAGGAGCTGATCTGAGCCTGACAGAAATACCTAGAGTTAAGCAGTAGAGAGAGGGTCCCCTGAGCTCCTGACTAAGGTACATTCTCCTTTATTAGTAAGTGCTTCCAAATACTGTACATGAAGAACACTGAGAAGGAACACTCTTTGGTATTGTGGTTATGTTGAAATAGATCTTATGCTGACAAATGTAAGGATGAAACTATATGATGTTTAGGATTTGCTTAAAAATTATCCAGCAGTTGGGCACAGTGACTCACACCTGTAATCCCAGCACTTTGAGAGGTGGAGGTGAGAGGAGACTGCTTGAGCCCAAGGATTCAAGACCAGCCTGGGCAACTTGACGAGAACTCATCTATACAATAAATCAAAAATTAGTCAGGTGTGGTGGCAAGCATCTGTAGTTCCAGCTACTTGGGAGGCTAAGGCGGAAGGATTGCCTGAGCCAGCTGGTAGAGCCTGCAGTGGCTGTGAGTATGCCACTGTACTCCAGTCTAGGCGACAGAGTGAGAGTACAGCTGAGAAAAAAAAAAGAAAAGAAAAAAATTATCCAGCAAGAGAGAGGGGGTGGGGGTCAGGAAAGTATGAATGAAGAGTATAAATGAAGCAAGAGTGGCCGTTTGCCAGTAACTGCTAAAACTGCAAGATAGATACTTAGAAATCTATTATACTATTCCCTCTAATTGAATATGTTTAAGTTTTTCCATAATAAAAAATTTAATCAACTACCGTAAGATCTATTAAATGAAACAAAAATAAAAGTAGTACCTCCTGCAGTTTCCACTATTTCTGACTCATAAGCATATTTTCTACAAAGATAAAATAGATAAAGCCCCAGGTTACTGATACTACAATGATATATCCAATCTTTGTTAGCCTTGGAAGGTAAAACAGTAAGGTTTTACCTAGGTTTCTTCTATCCATCTGGCAAGGATGCACCAAGCCCCCACTAGCAGAAGGCTTACCATATGGTCTGAATTTCCCCGGGTGACACATGCTGGTATATACCTAAACTGTGAACATTCCTAGTCATTGTCAGTAGTTCCCTAGAGGCCTTCCATCAAAACAGAGGTTACTTATTTATAGTACAGACACTAACTATATTAAAAGTCACTTCTGAAAAGGTTATTTAAGGTATAAGACACTGCTCTTGAGTCTTTGGGAAAAGTTACCTTCACAAAACTGTTGACAGCCATGATGGCCATATCTGGCTGACTCTTGGCGTAGTTCATCAAGTAGAGGTACACGAGCTTCTTTAGTTCCAGGTTGTCAGTCTGCATACAGTTCACTACATCTGGAAAGAGAGAGCTGAGAAGAGACAAGAAAAGAGAAAAGGAAAAAGTATGGGTCTTACTGCCAAGCTGTTGACCAGAACATGAAGAAATGGCCTTAATTAACAGTAATTTGATAGGACAAATGTCCCCACAGTGATAATTGTCATGGAAATGAATTACTAAAGAAACTGTAGGCTTGTGGCTCAGCCTGTAATCCCAGCACTTTGGGAGGCCGAGGCGAGTGGATTGCCTGAGTTCATGGGTTCAAGACCCGCCTGGGCAACTTGGCGAGACCTCTTCTCTACAATAAATCAAAAATTAGCTGGGCGTGGTAGCGCACGCCTGTATTTCCAGCTACTTTGAAGACTGAGGCAGGAGGATCGCCGGAGCCCAGCAGGTAGAGGCTGCGGTGGCCGGGAGCGTGCCACTGCACTCGTCTGGGCGACAGAGTGAGACTCCAACTCAAAAAAAAAAAGAAACTGTAGCACTGGTACCAAAAAGGACTCTAAATAGGATTTGAAAAAACTTTTTATTATGAAAAATTTCAAACTAGAGAGCAGTATAATGAGCCCATGTACCCATTACCCATAAATATCAATAACACCCAGTGCTGTTTCACACATATCCTCAACCCACTGGCCCATCACTGTTTCCACCCCCTCCAGTTGCTCTGGATTATTTTTAAATAAATCCTAGACATATCAAACCAAAACAATTAACAATAATTCTTCATATCAATCCACTGCAGTTTCAAAGCACTACAGTTATAGTTTTTATTTTTAGTTTTATTTTTTTTTAGTTGAAGTCTCACTCTGTCGCCCAGACTGGAGTGCACTGGCATGCTCCCGGCCACTGCAGCCTCGACCTGCTGGGCTCCGACAATCCTTCTGCCTCAGCCTTCCAAGTAGATGGAACTATAGGTGAACGCTACCACATCCGGCTAATTTTTTTATTTATTGTAGAGATGAGGTCTCGCCAAGTTGCCCAGGCAGGTCTCGAACCTGCGGGCTCAGGCAATTCACTCACCTCAGCCTCCCAAGCGTGGGTCTACAGGTTGAGCCACTGAGCCCGGCCAGTTATAGTTTTTAATATTTGTATTCCTCCATCCTTGACCAGTGGAAGCTTAGTTAATTCCTGAGTCATTGTGATGTGATCTTGTATTTTCAATACTTTCCTTGCTTTCTCATATGACAAGATATGCCATTCCGGCTCATTTTGTAAATGCCTAAACCCAAACCTAGAATCATTCATTTCTCCAGATGTCCTGATTCCCTTCTAGTGAAATGAATTTTTTTTTTTAACATTACACATTCAGACAAATGAAAATTTGAGAGTAATCAAATATAAATGAATCAAATATAAACCTTTCCCAAGTTCTCATCCTTCCATGATTTATTATTCTCCTCTAAGCCACAGGAAATTATGTTTCCATTCACAAAGCAATATCATTAGCTGGTCAGTTTCTAAAGTGTAAGCTATATTCTAAAAATATAGGTCAACTATAATTTTATGGGAAGTTAGCTATTAATCTTCCCCCTCAAGTTTTATCAAAGTACCTTATACATTTTTTACTTCTAAACACTTTACTACTAACATAGAAGAAAGGAAAAACAAATGTCGGTATATTTCTATAGAAAAGTAAAAGAATGACAAATAGCTGGTCACATGGTATAGGTCCCATATACATAACAGGGTACAGAAGTAGAACTTATTTACAAAAAAGAAGGTAGACTCAAAGTCAAAAAATCTATCACATCTTCCAATGGCTTCTGTACTAGAAGACATTATTTGTTTAACTTACATGTACGGTACCTTGCATACTTTCAGGTGTAGTAAAAAGGTGTTGGTGCCAAACTGTTAGACAGAATATGAAGAAATGGCCTTAACCAACAGTGATTTGATGCAAGGTCAAATGTCCTTGCATATGTAGATATTTAACAAACACTCTCCAAGGCTAGGGGCGGTGGCTCAAGCCTATAATATCAGCACTCTGGGAGGCCGAGGTGAGAGGATTGCCTGAGCCCACGGGCTCTAGACCAGCAACTTGGCAAGACTTCATCTCTACAATAAATCAAAAAATTAGCTGGGCGTGGTAGCGCATTCCTGTAGTTCCAGCTACTTGGAGGGCTGAGGCAGAAGGATCCCCTGAGCGCAGATCAAGGTTGTGGTACCCATGAGCATGCCACTGCACTCCAGTCTGGGCAACAGAGTGGGACTCCAACTCAAAAAAAATAAAATAAAAAAAAAATTTAAAAAAAAACACTCTCCAAAAATGAACTATTCTCACTGTCTAGGAGAATAGCTCGTGTGCAAAACAACAGTAACCAATAAATAAATGTAAAGCACTGACCAACAGTAAATTTAAGATCCTAAATAATTTCATTCTAACAATCTACATAAAATCAAGAAGACTTAACCAGGTGTGGTGGCTCAAGCCTATAATCCCAACACTTTGGGAGGCTGAGGTAAGAGGACTGCCTGAGCTCAGGGGTTCGAGACCAGCCTGGGCAACATGGCGAGACCTTGTCTCTGTTATAAATCAAAAAATTAGCTGGGCATGGTGTAAATGCCTGTGGTTCCAGCTTGGAAGTCTGAGGCAGAAGGATCACCTGAGCCTAGTAGGTTGAGGCTGAGGTGGTGGTGAGCATGCCACTGTACTCCAGGCCTGGGTGAAAGAGTAAGACTCTGACTCAAAAAAAAAAAAAAAAAATCAAGAAGACTTAATAGCCAAAGTTCTAAAGGTTAAAAGTGTTAAGTGCCAACCTATAAAGCTGGAAACTTGAACTTTTCAGTATAGTAGCCACTAGTCACACACAAGTGACACTGAGCCCTTGCAATGTGGCTAATCTGAACTGAGATGTGATAAAATTTAAAACACACACCGGATTTTGAAAGATTTGTTGAAAAATATAACGTAAAACATCTCATTAATAATTGATATACTGATTACATGCTGAAATAACAATATTTTGGATACACTGGTTAAATACAATTAACTAAAATTAATTTCACCTGTTCTTTACTTTTTTAGTATGGCTACTAGAAAATTTTAAATGATTTACATAGCTCATATTATATTTCTACTGTGTAACACTGAACTGGAAGTTAGTTGCAGGGAAAACTGAACAACAATAACCTAGAAACAACTAATTTCTATTCTATTTCTCTGTGCTATCTTTCTAGACACAGCTCACATGGTTTCTAAGAAGGTTCTTCAATTATTCCTATTTTTGTGGATCTCTATTTGGCAGAATTATTATTTCTTTTAACATATATACTTTAGTATCTAATTATATAACTATATTTTATTTTCCCCTAATTTGTCAAGTTTTGGGTCTTGTCAACTAGAAAGTGCCATGAAGGCTAATAAACATCCACTATCCTTTTGTTTGGCTCATAAGTGGTTTAGTGCTGGCACATAACAAACTATCAGCAATTAACAAATTAATAAGCACTATTTTACCAAGAATACAAAAGAAAAGTCAACTTTTCTTCTCATTAGTAGACCTGTAATAAAAAAGATTGTACTTAATTATTGTCATACTTTGAATTTCATGAATTAAAAAATGTGTGGAAATTTGTTTTTGCTTATTATATAAGTACCTACATAATGAACGTAATTTTGCCCTTTGCCTGCTAAGTCTAAAGTATTTACTATTTAGTCCATGATAGAAAAAGTCTGCCAACCCCTGAGATAGATGGTCACAGAATAGCAATCTAAAAACCAAATGTGGCCAGGCGCGGTGGCTCAGCCTTTATTTAATCCCAGCACTTTGGGAGGCTAAGGCAAGAGGATTGCCTGAGCTCAGCGATTCGAGACCAGCCTGGGCAACTTGGTGAGACCTTGTCTCTACAATAAATCAAAAAATTAGACAGGCATGATAGTGCATGCCTGTAGGTCCAGCTACATGGAAGGCTGAGGCAGAAGAATCACCTGAACCCAGCAGGTCAAGCCTGCAGTGGCTGTGAGTGTGCCACTGCACTCCACCCTGGGTAACAGAGTGAGACCCCAACTCAAAAAAAAAAATTAAAAAATTAAAAATAAAAACCAAATGTACAACCTCTATGGAAAGCAGTGTGGCAATTCCTAAAGGAACTAAAACTTGAACTTCCATATAATCCAGCAATCCCTCTCCTGGGAATATACCCAGGGGAACATAAATCACTCTACCAAAAAGACACCTGCATCCATATGTTTATAGCCGCACTATTCCCAACAATAAAAACATGGAACCAAACCCTACTGCCCACCGAAAGTGGACTGGATAAAGAAAATGTAGTACATATACACAATGGAGTATTGCACAGCCATAAAGAAGAACAAAATCACGGACTTTGCAGCAAATTGGATGGAGTTGGAGACAATCATACTTAGTGATCTATCACAGAAACAAAAAACTGAATACTACATGTTCTCACTCATAAGTGGGACCTGAACATTAATCACAATAGCACAAGGGAGGGATCAGCAGTCATTGGGTACTGCTGGGAGCAGGGAGGGGAAGAGAAGTGGGGGGGGGTACTACAGGCATGTAACAACACAAAGGCTACCTGGTCCTTTACCAGGGGAAGTGAGGGCCAGTTGGAGGCCCAAACTTCACCTGCATGCAGTCTACTTGTGTAGTTAATCAAAATTCACCTGCATGCAGTCTACATGTGTAGTTAATTCTTACTTAAACCACACATCTCTATAACAAAATAAGATAAAAAAAAGAACCAAGCCAGGTGCAGTGGCTCACACCTGTAATCCCAACACTCTGGAAGGCTGAGGTGAGAGGATTATATGAGCCCATAGGTTCAAGACCAGCCGGGGCAACATGGCAAGACTTCATATCGAGATTAATCAAAACACTTAGCTGGGTGTGGTAGGATGCACCTGTAGTTCCAGCTACTTGGAAGGCTAAAGCAGAAGGATCACCTGAGCCCAGCAGGTCAAGGCTGCGGCTGTGAGCATGCCACTGTACTCCAGCCTGGACAACAGAGTGAGACTCCGATTTAAAAAAAAAATTCACTGGGCTCGGTGGCTCAGCCTGTAATCCCGCGCTTTGGGA